AACTAGGTGAATGTGAAGTATTTTGTTAAAGGAGGATGAAAGCGTAATTAAGGAGCACTATTGGAGTGACTTTGATGGTTATTGGACTCAGGATTCATTCATTTGGATTCCCGCTTTATGAAGAAATTAAAGGACGACGCAAGTGGAAACAATTCACAAAGGGATTAAACTGTTTAAAATACATGTTCAAAGTAAGCCGGATTTTGCCGATGTGTTTGTGGATTCAAAAGTCGTAAATAATCTACAAAATGGAGGAGACCGATCTGATCGGAGCAACTGTGACAAATAAACTGAAACCGACATAGACAATGACTATGTTTTAAAAATGCGCTTATCCAGACAAGCCTGGTTTGGACACTTTACGGGCAGAAGAAACATTTCTATTAAAGAAAGAATTATACATTTCTGTCTTTTTATGCCTTTAATAGCTACTAACTTGGATTGTTATTCAAATTAATTTATCAATTATTTTTTATATTTTATTGTAATGTAGAGACTAGGCTTTTAGTGACAATCGTGTATTGCTTTTTTTTTTCTTTAAAAAAAAAAAAAAGTCTAAATATGATATTTGGCCTCAAATCATCTGAGGCCTGGCGCCCCCCCTGCGACCTTTGGCGCCCCTTTGGGGTTGGGAACCACTGCTCTATGCATTAGTTCTCTTTCAGACACAGTGAGGAATCTCAGGAATTAGACTCCTTATATTCCAAACACAACATGACAAAACTGTTTCACAGAGTGCGATGATGTGAGGGACGAACAAAGAGCTGTCTTTCGTAGAGGAATTGATCACAAAGCCCCTGCATTATATACACATGGCGTATATATTTATACTATACTGTGGTGGCCTGATGCATGCAAATCATTTCTTTCAACCCAGTGCTATATAAAGTAGACAAACTTTTTTAAGACTATAAGCATGTTGCCTTTTTAAATGTTGCTTTGTGAATCAGACTTTTTTCACCCCTGTTTGCTGATGTAGCTTCTTTACAGCAAATGGTTTTGATTGGCAGTGATGGATAAAAACTCTGATCCCTCATATCTTAACATTCTCATTTAAAGAGGCCAAAGTATGCGTTTTCTTTCCCTTTTATTGTGTGTTACATAGGTATTTGTGCATGTAAATGGTCTGCAAAGGATACATCCCCAAGTTCCCTCCAGAAGGAGTTTCTCTCCCATACTGTTACGTCCGTAACATAGTGACATCACTATGCACTCGCTCTTCTATTGGCTAGTGATCCAACCAACTGTACGTGATAGGGGCGGGACACTTCTAACCAGTTGACCAATCAAGATTCAAGGCTTTTATTAGTCATACATACATAGCTACAGTGTAGTTATGACGATGAAAATCTTAGGTCACAAGCTCCTCCAACAGTGCAACACAATAAGACAGAAAAACTGAAAATAATAGTGCAAGTAAATAATAAATACAAAATGAAAAATAGTAAAAATAATGAAATAGTGCAATAAGAGTCTGTATATACAAGTGATTGGAATATGATATATTTGATAAATAATTTCTAAGTAGCAGCCAGATGAATGTTATGGATGTTGTTTCAAAGTTCAGGTGTTTAATAGTCTTATGGCCTGTGGGATGAAACTGTCCCTGAGTCTGGTGGCTTTAGTCGTGATGCTGCGGTAACGCCTGCCAGACGGCAGCAGACAGAACCGTTTGTGGTAATCACAACAGATCCAGAAAGTTAACCAATCAGAGCAGACAGGGCTCTGGTTTCAGACAGAGGGTGAAAAGAGGTGCTGCAACAGAGGCAGTATGAGAAAAATAAAGATCTTTTTGAACATTAAAGCATGGAAACATGTCCCAGTAGAGACACTACATACAATTATGAAATCTAAAAATGAGCATAATAGGGCCCCTTTAATACTCAAATAAAGTACAAGTAGCTCAAAATTATATTTAAGAACAGTGCCTGAGTAAATGCACTAAGTTACATTCAAACTGTCCAGGAGACATTTTCAATCTCAACGAGACCTGGTTAAATAAAGGTGAAATAAATAAAAAAAACAGTGATGATTGTAATGTTGCTCACAAATACTTTTTCAGTGACACTCCTTCATAAAGCTCCACCATTCAACTGCTTCTCATTACATCTCATTCCTCTCCTCTTCTTCTGTTCTTCTTGTTTTTTTGGCACTGTAGCTCACTTATCCCGAAGAGAACGAAGACACCTTGCTGCTGAGATCCATTATTGATGTCAATCTGCCCAAGTTCCTGTCCCATGATCTGAAGCTGTTTGAGGTGTGACACAGTGGAGCTCCTCCTGTCCAGATTATTGGAGCGACACACATTGAGTGATGTCAGCCCGAGTTAATTCCACTCAGTTCATTCGCAGCCACAAAGCACAAGGACAATGTCTGTTTGGCTCAGAAGAGTTCACTGTAATCTGTGTGTGAGAGAATGAGATTCTGAATGTGTCCTTACTCCACACTTTAGGGATATAAGAAAATATCACTACAGTTCTGTATTGCAATATTAAGTTTTGTATACGGTATTGATTTTAAAAACACTAACCTTTCATTTGAAAAAATTGCAATATTTAGCCTCACTTAGAGTATCGGACATAATGCAATAAATGTACTCAAAACCTCTTTATCATGATAACTAATGTAACAGACGAATTTACCATTTCCATTGTATGACTTTCCTCATTTCATTCCGAGATTCCTCCCTTACTCCCTTTCCACCTCAGGGTATCACATCTGACCTCTTCCCGGGGGTCCAGCTTCCAACACGAGACTACCAGGTGCTGATAGAAGCCATCGAGGAAAACTGCCAGCGCATGAACCTGCAAGTCACAGAGTTCTTTGCTGAGAAAATCCTGCAGATCTTTGAGATGATGATAGTGAGGCACGGCTTCATGGTGGTGGGCGAGCCCTTCGGAGGAAAGACCTGCGCCTATCGTGTGCTGGCGGCAGCCCTTCACGATGTCTTTGAAAAGGTAGGATGTCGTGTTTAAAGGGTACTCTTGGTGTTTAAACTGGAACCTATTTTTTTTACTTTTTAGTGTTTAAGGCACCAGTGGAGGAAATACATAAAAAATAATTGGCTCAGTATAGAGCTAGAATGCTCCAAACTACTGCTGGGAAACCGGCTGCAACATGATGCTTCACGCAATTGTATTCTTTATATGTACTTCCACTAAAATATATTTTGTTTGTAACTCACTGGCTTAGATTGCTATTATAAGTGTATGACAACATTATGGAAAGGAAGCTAAAGAGAAATAAATACATTATATTTATCTTTTGCATGATCTGGACTACCTGGTATTGTGTCGAACCGTTTCCTTCAAGAAAAAGTATCTTTCTGAAATGTTGTGAAAAGGTAAGGCCTCTTTTACATTGCCAGACTCAGCTACATGTACTGCTGGTACAGTGAACATCTGTAGGTCAACACTAAGCTAGGCCAACTTCCACTTAGGTGTCCACCCTTGTCTTCTGGCAATAAGTCACTTCTCGTGTGATTTCAGAACAAGAGCGAGACTTGGTCAGACACGATAACACACAAACTCGAACAACAAAATAAAAAAAAACATTTAATGATTTATGTATAGCTTTCTTTCCATAATGCTGTCAGACTCTTTAATAACAATTTGAGCCTCTTAGTGGCAAAAAACAAGCACTTATGGTGGACATGCATTGAATATGCACAGGAACACATTGCTCACGTGTTGCAGCTTCTGGCTTCAGCCCTCTCCCTCAATCCTGGAATGATATCACTTACTGTAGACACAAAAACAAGCAGCCAGGTTGTAAAATAGCAATCTTATCACTTCAACTATAACCAGTTGAAAAAAAAATGATTAAGAGAATAAAAGCTGGATTTACTAACTGCTAAGAAATTGGGAATTATTATTTAGGATCATGTCAGCACGAGTGGAGAAAAGTGGCCGCAAGTTGTTTATCAGCCTGCTATAATTCATGACTCCTTACGTGGCACTTATTGTTGATCAATAGCTTCTTTAAACCAATGTATTCTCCTGGTTGCATTTCCTGTAGTTGTCCTTGAGGTCCATCGTATTCATTATGTTCCTGTCAGGTACCTGCTCAATTTGTCCAAATATTTTGGACAAAAAGCAATATTTTCAAATGGTTAACCATGCATTCTTTAATTGTATTTTATCACAAGTTTAAATGGTGTTTCCAAAGTCCTTGGGACACGATCTTGCTCGATCAGTAAAACAAAATGATGATAGAAACTTTCAACGTCAAGTAAAAATATGTGATACACTCAATATCCAAGGCTTAGCTGAGCTACACAAGTAAACACATCCATCCAATTTGTCAGCGCTGTAGTCTTTGTTTAGTAGTTATCGATCTCAGGGAGAGGAGCAGAACTGGCTTGTTGTATTTACATGGCTGAGAGGCTGAGGGGGCTGAGAGGCATCCCACCACTGAGACAGATGAAGGCCCGCTGATGGAGCGCCTGGGAACGCCACATCTATCATCGTCAGCACTGTTGCTGCGCATCCACTGATCATGTCTAACCCGCCCTCCACTTCCCCTTTCTCTACTAGTTTGTTGTTCTTTTATTCGGCTGCTTGTTTTTCTCATAGTTTCTAACTCAATGTGACACATTGTCTTGCAAGCCGTTTGTTGCCTTTTTGCTTTTGTTCCTCAGTTATCAGAAGTCTTGTCAGACAGCTTCTAAACAGTTTGTGGATCCTGGTGGAGACAGTTGGTGAAATGCATGGCCTTTCTTTTGCTTCTTCTTTGTGTGTAAAGTAAAGAATTGTCATGTGTATTTTCTCCTGTTTGTTTATGTGTACACTATGTATAAGGGCTATTGTAGCGTGAGGGGATAATATTCTGAGAAAAAAACCAAGGTGTAAGCAGTAAATGTAACAGAAAAAACGTACTTATTATCATAGACAGAGCTATAAGAGAAAAGTCAATAAAAAAAATAGTGGGAATATTTTGTGTTTTTCATGTGTATCCCACCTCCTCTAGCCATTGCGTTGTAGTTTCTGATGAGATAGTTAATATCTTATCTAAAATCAATTGTTGTTTTCTTCCTAATACGCCCAATTCACAGCAATGTCTCTCCAAAGTCCAGATTATTTTTAATTATTACTTTTTAAACCTCCATTAAACCAGGAGTATTTCTTTTGAGATTCAGAAACTCTTGCGAAAAGGGGTCCTAGCCAAGACAGCACCGTAATCTTTCAAACATAAAAACATAAAAACAGACATTGAACAAACTACTAGACGTAAAAAAACAGTTTACAAATTTCACATAAAAGAAACACTGAACTACTCAACAGCGTTCAGTGGCAGGCAATTAGGGGTCTAATACATTCATTTAATTAAAGGTTTCTATGGCAATGTGTCCTTGAAAGGTTCTTTGCTTGTAAATGTGTGACTTTAATCTCGGATATTAAATCTCTTAATTTCTTTTAATTTAAAAATAGAATATGTAATAATATACTGTTGGCCTTTCTGTCCTTTTTTCTTGAGTTGATACTCGATGTATTAGCCTAATCTGTATTTCTGTTGTGTGCTTGTATGTATGTTGCTCTTAAACCAGGGTTTGATGGATGAGAACCAGGTGCAGATCACTGTTATCAATCCCAAATCCATCACCATGGGCCAGCTGTACGGCAACTTCGACCCCATCTCTCACGAGTGGTCCGACGGCATCCTCGCCGTCAGCTACAAATCCTTTGCTTCCTCCCAGGTAAAATGGCTCCTCAGAATCAAACACACAAAGTATTGTCTAACTAATGCAGGAGCATGCAGATGTATCTACATGCTCCTTCAGACCCTCATGAAGATGAACATGTCATCATCCTGGATCCGTGCAGGGTTAGTCACACACAACCTGTTCCTCTTTTGTATACAGAGCCCTCCAAATCCAGTATAATCGCACAATGTGGTCAAATTTACATATTTGCATGATATTTCACAAACACTGATATAGAGACAAATAACCAACCGATGTTACATCTCCCATTTGGATTCCATGGCTTTCCATGTACTTAATACCATTTATTTTACTCAATACTAGCTTAAATGTTAACCTTGACTGAAACTATGATGTTGTGCCCAAATCCAGTTGGGAAAATGTTTACAATGTTGTTTAATCTGCTCAAAGAAGGGAAAATGTTTTGGGGTTTTTCAAGAATCCATGGCATATTGAGTTACCATAATGCACAACTACAAATTGTTTTGCGTCCCACCACTGTTCATGCTGTGGTTAGCACAAAAAGCGAGTTTGTTTGGTAATCATTCACACTATGCTGAGCCGCTTGTAGGTTCCCGGTCAGCCACAACAACAACAGTTTGGCAATATTTTCAGAGACATCGTGGGACTCTTCCAGGTTGGGATAAGTCTTTTTGCCTAATCATTTGCAGGTGAAGGCCAGGATAGGACCCTTACATGTGGGCCCCTCAGCCAGGCGTGCCCGTACAGAAGTCCTTGATGAGGGATTTCATTTCTCCTGGTCTATGCCAGGGAAACTGCTCTCTGTTTATACAGGCTGCCAACAAAATACACAGAGCTCCTCTGAGAGCTGATATTTAGCTCATGCACAACACTTTAGCTAAACAATATGGACTGCTTGTTTGCCTTGGGTAAGTTAAAAGGTGCTTTGGGCTAGAACATCTCGAATAAAGGGGTAAAAAATAACTTGACACATAATTTTGTTATTGAGCCATGTCGTGCCTTCTCTTCTTTGTTAGTAGTACATGTGTTGTTGATGTTACATGTTGCCGGAACTCCAGATTATTGTCTAAAATAGGATTAAACATAACAATTAACAATTTGTTGATGTATTTTTCATCTAAAAATGACAATGACAGATACAGAATATTCCCTCAAACGTGGCAGAATTTGTCAAAGTAAAAGAAGTTCAGCTGTAGGGGGGACGCAAACATTATCTAAAGATGTTGTCTCATGCAGTGAAGTGTCTATCACACCTCCAGCTGTCATTAAGGAACAGCTGGGTCACAGTTTGATGTGAGCTTCTAGCATTCTGATATGTCAAACTGGGCTTCTGACATCATACAGGAGATTCTGATGCTCCTGTGTCAGCTAGTCAAACTCTATGTTCCAAACACAATATATATAAATATTGACATTTCCTCTGACAATTATGGGGTCATTAACTCAAAACATGTTTTTGAACAAAGCAATTACTTTGACTGGAAAAGGCATCATCATTATTTTAAATACATGTGCGTCTGTTAGTGGGTTAGAATGAATGATAAATAGAGGAACAAAACAACCTTAACATATCCCAAACGTAAAAATGATTTGGATATAAAACAATAGGCTACTATATGAACATTTTAGGCTAAAATGTGACACCATGATCCAAACTGTCATTACTGCTAATAAATGTTTTGGATTGACCAATACTGTCATATTGTATCTCTACCTATTCTATTTATAAATTGTCCCTACTGTGTTATATTTGTGTGGATATTGCTACACTTCTATGCTAACATAGTTGGATATGAGTTATCAGTTGAACTCTGAATGAAGACTGGGCTCTGGTTTCAGACAGAGGGTGAAAAGAGGTGCTGTAGAACAGGCAGTATGAAAATAAAGCACTTTTTTCATATTAAAGCATGTAAACATGTCACAGTAGAGGCACAACGTACAAAAAAATTCAAAAAATAAATTAGTATTTGTTAGTTATGATCAAGTGGTGAAAATTATATAAATGCGTAACAGTTTTAAGATTTTGACATTGTTGTACTCTCTTTTTAAAGTGCGGCACAAGGGTTAGTCATGTTGTAATACATTTGAATGTGGTGCAACACATGTTGGATGTTGCATAAAGCTGTGCAATAAGAAGAAGGTAATTACATCCATTATCGTCTACTCAGTCTTCAGAGTTTAAGTCGGATCATCACACAAAAGGCCTGACATTACAATTCATTTCAGGCTGGTAGAAAGAGAGTCTTCCTCGACAGGGTAAACAAATAAAAAAGTCTGCTGTCTTGTTGAATTTAAATCTTTAATAACTCTCTTTCATTTATGTACACACAGCAGACACACATGGGCAAGCATTTTACATAATGGCAGTGAAGGCACGTCATAATGGAAAATCATCTGTTCGCTCTATTCTCAAATTGATTCCAAATGAACATGTCATTTAAAAAATTGGCTCCGTCTTGTCATTTTAAAAATGTCTCATTATTTTTGTCAATGAATAAGGACTGTTGGGATTGGATGTGACGGCCAAGGCAGTCCGCACTGATGCAATGAAAATAGAAAACGAGAAAGCGGCTTGTTTTAATTCAGTTTAAAAATAAGTAATTTTCCTCTGGGCGATAGTTTTCCCTTTTGTTCCTCCCATCACATTTTACTAAACCTAATTTGTACTGTACTAATCTGGAATCAGCAGCAGTGCGGTGTGTTAAACTCACCGCGCATACAATTAATTTTGTTTTTTCCCCAGTGCCAACGCTCTGTCAGATCATTACAGTATACTCACTTCCCTCACAAGCACTAGATGGCCCCAACACAGGCATCTTCCATTGGTTTATATTACAACAAATCAATTTAAAGCACAGCTCCTGCCAGCCCGTTTAACTGGAGATCTGACGCTTGTTGTCAACATCCATTATGCCAGTCTGGGTGCTAATTTCATTCGTTTTTGCAGACATTCTTTCAGTACAATGCTTAGGAGTTCTTCCATGACCTTGGAAGTCTGCAGAGGGATTTCTTTTGGTGCAATAAATGAATGCATATTATTAAAAGATATAAAAACAAGTTATTTTTTGTACTTTGAAGCTCCACGAGTACTTCAGAAATGTTGCATATTCTTCCACTGCGGGGGCCAACCTTCTGTATATTCAGCCTGTCTTTTACTTGAAGTGAAAAGCCTCCCCAGGGTTTAAAGGTCCGTCCATCCGTCTGTCTGCTAGAGCCTTCTTCCATCTGTTAAACTCCAAAGGCTGTGGAAAACCAGCCAAACTTTATTCCAAATCCTTGATGAGTCAAGTGTCAAAGTGCTCACGTTTTCAATGTTATGGTGCTTTAAACCTCTACTCCACTACATTATTGAAGCAAATATGGTACGTTTTACTCTCATCTATACAACATAATTAGTATATACTGTACCCGGAAATCTCCATCCTTCATAGAACGTAATTGTTTTGGTACTTTAAGAATATGTTGATGCTTTGACTCTTGTACTTTAGCTACATTTAGAATTCTAGACTTTTACTTGTAACTAAATAATTCTACAGGGTTGTATACTTACTTAATAAAAGTATTTCTTCCACAACTGCTACACTAAAATGTCTAATAGTTACACCTGTTGGGTTCATTTTTAAACTGGTTGATTACATTTTCTCCTAACTAGTTGCAGTCAATTGTGACCTTATAAGTAATGGCCAAAATGCCCTCTAATTCAACTAGTTGGTCATGTGGACCGTACTGTTAAGATAATTACCCTTCCTCCTACTTGTTAACTAATCAAGGCAAACACGCCAACTAGTTAGGGTCTATTTTGACCTATATAGTTCTAGTGATGTGAACAAATTCTATTAGTTGACATGTTTGATCGTTGTGGCACTTCACTGTTAATTTAACTAGTAAACATTTTAAGCCCCACTACTTAACAAGTCAACTTACAATCACACAAGTTATCAAATATTCATATTGGCTTTAACTAATTCAAGTAGTGAAGAATACTGATGTCCGATATCTACAATATGGAATAAATCCTGAAACGTCTTCCCATATAAAGCCAGCTATGTCGAGCATGTAATAGCACATGTAATTGTGCTATAAATTAAAATGTTCCTTCAAGGTGTAAGAAATTATTTTTTTCTTGCTTCTCTCAGAGTCCCGACAGAAAATGGCTTATCTTTGACGGCCCAGTGGATGCGGTGTGGATCGAGAACATGAACACGGTGCTCGATGACAACAAGAAGCTGTGTCTGATGAGCGGCGAGATCATTCAGATGTCACCGCAAATGAGCCTCATCTTTGAGCCCATGGACCTGGAGGTGGCGTCGCCTGCCACGGTGAGAAACACCTTTACTTTTGATCAAGGTTTGCATGACAGAGTATCATGCTTTTCCATTTTATAGTAGTGATGTTGTCCAATCTAAAGATATGGTGGAGGATGGATTACTTACTGTTCTCATTTAGAAACACAATTTTTGATTGTGTACTGCTGTTTTCTTGCTGTAATATTCTGCTGCAACGGTTATGGCCATGTTTTTCTTCTCACCCACATCATCTCATTATCTTTCCATTTACACAAAGGCTTTCATTTCCCGTTATGCCTGTCTTTATTACATCTACTCTCCAGTATTCACCTCAGTGGTCATGCCCTGTTGCTGTCTTTTTTATTTTTGTCACAAAAGGTACAATTGTACAAAGTATGTGTGGGTTTTATCTTTATATCCTCTGCTCAGTATTATCACATTTAATCTTTGCTTAATCTTCATTGGACCAGGCGTCAATTAAATGCGTGCAGCTAGTGCAGAACGCATCTGCACGTCTTCTCACTGGCCACAAAAAGCGTCACCACATCACCCCAATTCTGGCCTCACTGCACTGGCTTCCAATTCAGTTCCGAATTGATTTTAAACTCCTTTTATTTGTTTTTAAAGCACTAAATGGGCTGGNAATGGCAAATGGCAAAAATTCCTTCATATTCAAAGTCAATATCAAAAACAGTCGTAGATGGAACTGACTGTAGAGAGGATCCCTCTCCTGGTAAGAGCTCTGTTTTTGATATTGACTTTGAATATGAAGGAATTTTTGCCATTTGCCATTTGATTCCAAGTGCTCTTTCAATTGGCAGCTTTTCCCTGTCAAAGTCCAGATCCTTAGCCAGCCATAAACCTCAGGTTCTTTTTAATGTCCTCAACTCGATCATTAATCCCTGTGATGTTACTCCAATTGTGCCATCGACTACTCTCTATGATAAGTTTCTTACATTTTTTATTGAAAAAGTATCTGCGCTTAGGCTAGCCCACACTAGTGCTACCCCTGATCCTGCTCCCTCAGACAGCATTCCCTCTCGCCTTCTCAGAGATGTTTTCGAATCAGTTGGAACAATTATTTTATTACTTATAAATACCTCTCTTAGCTCAGGATGTGTCCCAGCTGCCTTCAAACATGCCGTGGTCAAGCCACTACTTAAAAAGAAAAATCTGGACCCTTCCATTCTCAAATTCAAATTTTAGGCCCATCTCCCAGCTACCTTTCTTATCTAAAGCCCTGGAGCGAGTAGTCTACGCCCAGCTGCAGTCTTTCTTAACCACGCATGCCATCCATGAAAAGTTTTCAGTCTGGCTTCAAACCCATGCACAGCACTGAAACAGCCCTTTTTAAGGAGTTTTTAATGATCTGGTGCTCCTAGCCCGCCGACTCAGGTAGCCCACTGGTCCTGGTGCTGTTAGACCTGGACAGCTGCCTTTTCGACACTGTGGACCATAGCATCCTGTTGTCACGGCTTGAACAGTCTGGGTGGCATCACAGGCTCTGCCTTTGCATGGTTCAAGGTCCTTACCTGAGACCGTCGAACGTGCCGCCCCCCGCGCTCGCAACACACGACATTCACAACACACACACACACAACACAACACCCACACACGACACACACACACCATAAGCCTCTCTCTCGCGGCACACGCAAACAAACGACACTTCAGCACCAGGCGACAAACACACAACACACACCGACACACGACAACACTCTCGTCTCTCTCTCCTCCTCAACACAGAACACACGACACTATTTCACACACATACACACTCCTTCTGCTCTCACACCACACCGATCACACACAGACACACACAGCACGACACACACACACACACACAACCACACATCACACACACAACAAACACAGCGACACACACACGCTACGCGGGTCGCTTCTCAGTAGGCGACGTTAGCGGATACCCTGCTCATCCTACTGCTAAAAGCAAGCCCTCTTAACCTGTGCGTATTCCCCACAGGCTCTAATTCTGGGCCCCCACTCCTATATATACACTACCATGTACATCACTAGCCCCTCAGGTATCTCAAATTCTCAACAAAACACACAAACATCCCCCTTCCGTAGCTAGGACGACAGATGTCACAGATTATCTAGCCTGCGTCCAAATATCACGAATGGATATCCAACATCCATTACAGAAAGTTGATGGAACAACCTGCTTGTCTCACGAGAGTTCAATTCGCTGGCATAGAGACCACCCAGAAACATTTTCCTCAAAGGCGAACGAAGAGTAAAAGACTGCAGGATATATACCTCTTTCTTTGGACCCCAAACCTCCAGCACAACACCCTCCCCAGGTTGAGATATTCCTGGGTGTGCGCCTGCGTGAAGCGAAAAAACGTAATCCATCCGTCCACCTCTGTCCACCCAAAACAAACCCTTGGCAGCAAGTGACCTCGGTCAATAGACCACATTTAAATCAGTCGTACTAAGGTCAGCAGCGTAGTCACACGCTGAACGTTTCTTCTTAAAATTACGGATACACCTATTGGCCAAGGATCCAAGATTCAGTTTTTATCCTTTTAACAACGACCTGAAAGCGCGTATTAACGCCCTTTGACTCTACTCAAGAGGTTGCACATACTAGACAAAACGCCTCTGCTACGCTGACGGGTACATGGACACCAGCGTTCAAAATTTAAACACCACTTAGACAACCCGCAAGCGGGGACTTTGTTTATACTAAAAAGACGAACAGCTCGATCCACTTCACCCAATTTGGCCCTTGACTGGCACTTTGGCTTCCAATTCTCAAGTATCCGACACAGAATTGATATTAAAACCTCGCCTTTTGTATATGTGTCTTGAAAAGCACATCAAACATGGCATGCGCTCAACAGGCACAACCACCGGGGCCTATAATAAGCTGAACTCCTCTCTAGCACTCACATTCCATTCTACTCTCGCTTGCACCCACTCATTACACAACTCGTTAG